ATTTTAAAGTAAATTAGTTAACCAGTCGTGAAGTGAACTTTTGCAAAGGTGAACAACTTGTGTTTCGCGCGCTCATATGACCTTAGCAGTTGCGAGCGCCGTAAAACCTTATACTATACATACATATACATACAACAAACTCCATTACATTCAAACGAAACTTATGCCCAGGAAATCACTATCTCTACCACGAAGAGAAAAAGTAATTTATACGAGATTAAAGATAGGACACACGCACGTCACACATAAACATTTGCTCGAAGGAGAGGAAGCTCCTTTTGTGTGGCGTGCAACACAAATTTCACAGTTCGGCACATCCTAATGGAATGTGTCGACTTTAATTATGTCCGTGGGAAATATTTTAGATGTAAAGATATTAAGACCCTTTTTGACATCATAGAGCCTAGAAGAATTTTAAGTTATATAAAAGAAATTGGACTATTTAATAGAATATGAAAACATATAGTTATCGTTATCGGTGTATATATACATACGGTGAAAATATACATACACTGAAATTTGTATTGTATATACAAATTTAAATAAGCCTTTTCCATATTTACAATTTTTTAAAAATAAATGTATGTTCGTCTTTTTAGCATAATAGAAATAGTGTGATCGTTTGCGGTTGCGAGCTCCGAAAGACTCTTATTAAAAACACGTCTGATTTTGTAGCGGTGAAACCTGATGGGGCTTAAATGACCAAAATTGTGTCGATAGTGCCGTAAAACATCTACCCAAACAAACAAACAAACCACAGACTGACTTTAAAATTAAAGTAAAAAAGTACACGTGCAGTCTGTGGGAGAGCCACTGGAAAAAAACAGACGGGTAACAAACTCCACAATATTAAACCCAAACTAGGACCGCGAAATCCTTCGGACCTCTCCAGAAGAGACGAAGTCGTTTTTACTCGATTACGAATCGGACACACGCCCCTAACTCACGAATACCTCCTTCAGGGAGATGAGAAGCATTAGACACATTTTAACCTAATGTCTAGACTTCGGAGAGATCCGAAGGAAATAATTTAAATGTAAAAAATTGCAAGACATTTTTTCCGTCGTTGATCCCATCAAAATTTTTAATTTTATGAAGGCCATTGGCCTTTATGGGAAACTGTTGAGCAAATTGAATTATTAAAATTTTCATGTTATTTAGGAAAGTTGTTTTAAATTGAAAATAATATATCTAAACCGAATTACAGCCGTACAGTGAACTGCGAATAAAACTAACTTGTGTTTCGCGCGCTCATATGACCTTATGCAGTTACGAGCGTCGTAAAACCCCATACTGAACTAACTGAAAGTTTCAAAGAGATCTTCATACTAAAAGTATTCTAAAATGTGAAGAAAACAACCTCGGGGGTATAAAATGACCCCAGGGCGTACGGGTAGGGTTAAGTGACCAAAGTACCGCGTAAAATAGCTACAGCAAAACGTCGTGAAACAAAAAGCCACCAGAAGATGCAGGGTTGTAAAGAGAGTTTCACTCACGCACCGTATGTTTTTCTTTTGCAGGTCGGCCTGAAGCTGGCCGAGACCAGCCCCCTGTGGTACCTGCAATTCCTGTGGGACAGGCCGGTCAGGCAATGCCTGTAGGACAGGCGGGTCCTGCAATGCCTGTAGGACAGGCCGGTCAGGCAATGCCTGTGGGACAGGCCGGTCCGGCAATGCCTGTGGGACAGGCGGGTCCGTCAATGCCTGTGGGACAGGCGGGTCCGTCAATGCCTGTGGGACAGGCGGGTCCGTCAATGCCTGTGGGACAGGCCGGTCCAGCAATGCCTGTAGGACAGGCAGGTCCTGCAATGCCGGTGTTGCAAGCGCAACCAATGGAAGTGGACCCACGCCCTGCCCGTCCTGAGCTTGCGATGCCGGCGTTGCAGGCTCAACAACCACTGGCAGCAAACGACGTAAGTTTTTGTTGTTGTTGTGGGATTTTAAAAGTTTTTTTGTTTCTGCATTTATTCTTTTTGTTGTTGTTCTTTTTAAAATGTTTCCCCCTCTTTCTTGGTTTTCTTTTGTTTTAGAGGTAAACAGCACCTACAACTACGTTAAGGTCGTATTTTTAGAGTAAAGACCAAACATTGAGACCTCTGTTAGGATCAATGAAGGAGAACAAATTCTTCAAATAGGTGCGTAAAAAAGTAATTCCTTCTGGTCTCCCCAAAGTCTGGCAAATTCCAGGTCACCAGATGGGCATCGCATCTGACACAAAATTAATGTTCCAATCTTTCCAATGGATCTTGGCAACCTGTTGTTTCCCATTTTTGTTCAGATATCTACATGTATATATAATTTCCACTTTTTACTTCCAACATTGTATACCTGATATTCCGAATTTAATGGGATTTAATTTAGGTTTTATAAAAGTTTTGAAATAGGTTGTTCGAAATTAAGTGTTATTTAGAAAGTTGTTTTAAATTTAAATTTAAATCTAAAGCCTATTTACACTCGATTTTTAGCGTTTAAAAATTTTTAAATAGAAATATTGACCAGTATCAAGCCGAGAAATGAACCGTTGAGAAAAAACCTTGTTTCGCGCGCTCATATGACCTTAGGCAGGTTCGAGCCTTCCATTTCCCAACATAATACTGTCATTCTCATTTCGCCTTTTTTGTAATAGAAGCTGATTAGTTAGGATCTGTTCTTAAATATTATTAGTGGGTGGTTGGCGGGTGCTCCGGTGTAGTTTGCTTCTTTCCAATCAAACATCTATCGTCCTTGTCTCCCCTTCTTTTATGTTTGTTACTCTCTTGTAACACCCCTAATCTTCGGCACTTATATGACCTTATTGTGTTGCAAATGCCGTAAAACCCGTACTATAACTAACAAAAATGTTCTTTAAATCTGTTTTCAGCTTGGACAATGCCAGCAACTGACACTTGTTAGCGGACGCCGTCGACTGTGCAAACGGAGGCGGTGTCTATCGCAACCCTATTGCAGGCAGCACAGTAAGACTTTCATATTCTCATTTGGCTTTATCAGCGAAATATAAATTTTAAATTGTTTGCTACATTTCTGATTAATTAGCATCGTGTGTGTATGTGCTTGTGTGTGTATATGCTTGTGTGTGTATATGCTTGTGTGTGTGTGTGTGTGTGTGTGTGTGTGTGTGTGTATGCACGCACTCGCACGCATAAGTGAGAGAAAGAGAGAGCGAAGCGTGAGAGTGAGAGAGTGAGAGAGTGAGAGAGTGAGAGGGAGAGGGAGAGGGAGAGTGAGAGTGAGAGAGAGTGAGAGTGAGAGTGAGAGTGAGAGTGAGAATGAGAGTGAGGATGAGAGTGAGGATGAGAGTGAGGATGAGAGTGAGGATGAGAGTGAGAATGAGAGTGAGGATGAGAGTGAGGATGAGAGTGAGGATGAGAGTGGGAATGAGAGTGGGAATGAGAGTGAGAATGAGAGTGAGAATGAGAGTGAGAATGAGAGTGAGAATGAGAGTGAGAATGAGAATGTCAGTGCCACTGACTGTAGTGTCTTTAGGCCATTCCCAAACGGGGGATATTTCTAGTTCAAGCACAGTAGAATTGTCACGCTCATAACTGTGGCTGATCTACAACAGTGAACTGCTGCTTTTTCTTTCCTAATCCTTGCTATTGTTATTTTCCTCTACTTCTTTTGTATGTTTGTCACTCTTTTGAGACCTGCTACTTCCGGGGTGCCTTGACAGTTGAGGCAGACCTTGTGCTGTTGAAGCTAGAGAGGTGAGCAGAGTAAGTCTGATTCCATGTAAAGACTTCTCTGTTGACACTGAACCCTTGGCGCTCATATGACCTAATGCAGTTGCGAGCGCCGTAAATCCCTCTATTTAAAAAAAAAAAATCTTCATTGGGTCGAGAGTGCCGTAAAACACCTACTCAATCAATCAAAACCTCTAATCGTCGGAACTTTTATGACTTTATTGTAAAGCAAGTGCCGTAAAACGCTTATGAAGTGGGTGGTTGGCGGGTACTTTGGTAGGTGTGGTTTGCTTCTTCTTTCCTATTAAACATCTATCGTCCTGATCTCCTCCTTTTTATGTTTTTTTCTCTCCTGCAACATCTAATCTTCGGCACTTATATGACCTTATTGTGTTGCAAGTGCCGTAAAACTTACTAAAACTACAACTAAAAGCTCTTACGAAAAAAAATACCCCGTAAAATAGTTACAGCAAAACGTCGTGAAGCAAAAAGCCACCAGAAGATGCAGGGTTGCGAAGAGAGTTTCACTCACGCACCGTGTGTTTTTCTTTTTCAGGGCGACAAGATGAGCTCCGTGCTCCAGCACAGGAAGTAGCGGCCCTGGAGGTCGTGGTCGATCCTGCACCTCTTCCTGTACCTGCTGCCTTACCTTTGCCTGTCCATCCTGTACCTGCTGCCTTACCTTTGCCTGTCAATCCTGTACCTGCTGCCTTACCTTTGCCTGTCAATCCTGTACCTGCTGCCTTACCTTTGCCTGTCAATCCTGTACCTGCTGCCTTACCTTTGCCTGTCGATCCTGTACCTGGTGCAGGTGACCTTCCTGTCGATCCTGCACCTGGTGCAGGTGACCTTCCTGTCGATCCTGCACCTGGTGCAGGTGACCTTCCTGTTGATCCTGCACCTGGTGCAGGTGATCTGCCTCTTCTTCCCTTTCCTCTGCCTGTCAATCCTGCACCTGTTGCAGGTCATCTGCCTCTTCTTCCCTTTCCTCTTCCTGTCAATCCTGCACCTGTTGCAGGTCATCTGCCTCTTCTTCCCTTTCCTCTTCCTGTCAATCCTGCACCTGCTGCAGGTCATCTGCCTCTTCTTCCCTTTCCTCTGCCTGTCCGTCATCTTCCTCTTGCAGTAGACTACGCACCTCCAGGTGTCGTCTACGCTCCCCCTGTCTGGCCAGGACGAGATCAACTGCCAAGGATGTTTCCCGTGCTCGTTGCTGCACCAGCTGCCTGGCATCCACACGCTCCACCACCTAATGGGGTACGTTTTTTTGTTTTGATGGTTTTTTTTGGTTTTCTTGTTTCTTTTAGAGGTAAGAGATTTACTGCTACTGCAACTGCATTAAGGTCACAGGAACGTAAGGGACTCCACCGTATTTTACTGTATGGTTGAAGTTGAGAATTCGTGGTCAAATCCAATAGTAACAACAGACATTTTTTTCGTTTTGTACAACAGTATTATCCGTATTTTTACATTAAAGGTAAAAAAATGGAGAATTCTGTTAGGACCAACGACGGAGAACAATTTCTTTGAATCAGTGCTTTTAAACTAGTTCCTTCAGGTCTGTCCAAAGTCTGGTAAATTCCAGGTCGTCAGATCGGTAGCGCATCTGACAAAAGATTAATGTTCCAATCTTCCCCATAGCTCTTGACAACATGTTGTTTCCCGTTTTTATTCAGATAGGAAATCCGCTTCTAAATGATTTTATACATTATTTAGGTGGGGGTGTAAAAACACATAATTTAAATAATAACGATAATGATAATGATAACGATAATGATAATAATAATAATAATAGTAATACTATAATAATAATAGTAATAATAATAATAATAATCATCATCATAATCATAATCATAATCATAATCATAATCATAATCATAATAGTATTCAGGGTCATAGTCATAGCCATAATGATAATGATAATGATAATGATAATGTTAATGATAATGATAATGATAATGATGATAATGATAATGATGATAATAATAACAATAATAATAATAATAATAATAATAATAATAATAATAATAGTAATAATTATTATCATTATTATTATTATTAATATAATTATAATCATAATAATAATAATAATGATAATAATAATAATAATAATAATAATAATTATAATAATAATAATAATAATAATAATAATAATAATAATAATAATAATAATAATAATAATAATAATAATAATAATAATAATTTTTCTTTTTCTTCTCCCACAGCCCTTCAACTTCTTTGTCATCAACCTGACAGCCAGGGACATGATGGACTTCCTCGGGCAGCAGCAGGGACGGGGAGCGTTTGTGCCAGCACAAAGGAGGAACTTTGCTGAAGCAGACAGGAGACTGCATCTCCCTCCTGTCCCTCCTCTCCCTCTCCCTCCTCCCCCTGCTGCTGCTGCTCAGTCAGTGTTCAAGCGTTCGTTCAGTTTTAAATTTTTTTAGGTAATTATGATTAAATTTTTTTAGGTAATTATGATGGTGTGTGTGTGTGTGTGTGTGTGTGTGTGTGTGTGTGTGTGTGTGTGTGTTCTTGTGTATGTATTTGGTGTGTGTTACTAGTTACATGAAACGATTTATTTGGTGTGTGTTACTAGAGTTACGTGAAACGATGTAGTTGTCACTTGTTACATGAAACGGTGAAGCGGTTACTACAGTTACTGTTACTAACTACAGTTATTGTTACTGGTTAAATGAAACGCCGTAGTTGTTCCTAGACTTACTGTTACTACAGTTACATGAAACGCCGTAGTTGTTACTAGAATTACTATTACTAGAGTTGCATGAAACGCCGTGGCTGTTACTACAGTAACTGTTACTAGAATGACTGTTACTGGAGTTATATGAAATGCCGTAGCTAGCAAGGTTTAGAGCAAGGGTGTAGAGGTTCTATGTATGGGACTCTATGAACTCTTGGCTCTCTTCATTTGTCGGCCCATAGATCGCAGCTGCAGAGAAACTTGTGCGGTGTCGCAGTCAGACACGCGAGAGATGTGAGTTATAATCTGTAGTAGTGCAAGGAGAGGTCTTGTGGGGGAACTCCACGTCGTCTTTCGGATGAGATGTTGGTTGTGGGTGGTTGGCGGGTGCTCTGGTGTGGATTGCTTTTCTATCAAACATATATCGTCCTTTTCGCCCCCTTTTTTTTTGTTTTGTTTGTTTGTTACTCTCTTGTAACACCTCGATTCTTCTGACGCTCATTTGGCCTTATGCAGTTGCGAGCGCCGTAAAACCTCTACTAAAACAAACAAGACGTTGTCATCGATTTCTTTTATGTAGGCACGTTGTGCTGGGTGGTGTGTTGGTAATCTCATGAGATGTCCGAACCATTTGATTCTTTGGTGTTGTATGTGATGCATGACATCATTTGCGCCCACCATTTCTCTGATGACTGTTCTAATTTTGTCTCGCCTGGTCTTCTTTACTGCTTTTCTTTGTAAATTCTGTTTTCTTCACCTGCAACTACTTTTGTGTAGCAACATGCACGCTATGAAGTGTGGGAATTCGCCTTTCTGATTTCTGTAAGTTTATTCAGTGTTTAAGGCCATGGGCCCTCATCACATCACATAAAACACTCATTTGATAAAAGTTTCCATAATGAATAAGTACAGGTTGTGCACATATCTCTTATCATGGGTCAAACATTGCATATTTCTGTCACTAGGCCGAGTCAGCTGGGAGGCATTAACAATTTCCTTTGAAGGACAAAGTGTGAACAATAGAAAATAAAGTGAAATTCATCTTCAGTTTCATGAGAGTTACACCTCTCACATAAGGGAGAATTCGTTAATTTCCACTGGTAGAGATTATTTAATGGAAGGCTATGGTTTATTAAAACAAAGCTATGACTCTTCTGCTCCAATACCGTGGGAGGATGGTGATATATCCAGCTGTTTCTGATTTCTGTATAACGCTTTGAAATGGGCTGCGAAGTTGCTATTGGCCTAGAGGTTAAGGTGTTGGCCTCTCATTCAAAGGTCCCGGATTCGAATCCGGGTAGCGACCGAAAAACTGTTCTTCTCTAAATTGTCTCCTTTCACTTCATTTCCAGCTTTCTAGCAATGTTCTGTCGTCTGCTTTCGTCTCCTCTTTCTGTCCCCACTCCCTCATCTCCTTTGTCCCCCCCCCCTCCTCTGGGCTCCTGATTCTTTCTACAGCCTTTCTACTGCTACTCCTTGGCTTCTTCTTACTGCTGTCTTTCAGCAACACCCCTGATCTTCTTGTAGGAAAGATCTACATGTAGCTTTCTCGGACAAGGGCAAAAAATCTCGGAGGGCCCGTGTACAAGTTGCGCACGTTAAAGATCCCTTGGTGGTCTAACATCGATAAGAGTAGGCTTCGGCCGCCACCCGGTCAAAATTCAAAATTTCCTACCAACTGAAAAAGTTTAATGTGTCCCGTGCGCTCATATGACCTTATGCAGCTGCGAGCGCCGTAAAACACTTACAAAAACAAACAGAATCTAATCTTCGGCACTTATATGACCTTATTGTATTGCAAGTGCCATAACTCTTACTCCGCTCTACTGCCTCAAAGTCTCCCCGCCCCTCCCAGGAAATTCAACATCTCCCTGTGCTGGAGTCTGTGGACATCTCTGTCTGTGCTGGAGTCTGTGGACATCTCTGTCTGTGGACATCTCTGTCTGTGGACATCTCTGTCTGTGGACATCTCTGTCTGTGACATCTCAGTAGCTGAAGACGTGTGGGAGAAAATATTATATATCTACACCAAAATTTTCTATTTTAACGTTTAAGATCAAATAACCGTACACAGCCGTGCAGTGAACTACGTATAAAAAAAACTAACTTGTGTTTCGGCGCTTATTTGACCTTATGCAGTTGGGAGCGCCGTAAAACCCCATACTAAACTAAAAAAAACTTTTAAAAAACTAACTCTTTCTAGGGGGCTCTCGGGGCCTAGAGGTTAAGGTGTTTGCCTCCCATTCAAAGGTCCCGGGTTCGAATCTGGGTAGCGACAGAAAAATTTTCTTCTCTAAAATTGTCTCCTTTCACTTCCTTTCCTGCTTTCTAGCAATGTTCTGTCATCTGCTTTCGTCTCTTCTTTCTGCCTCAACTCCCTCATCTCCTTTGCCCCCTCCTCTGGGCTCCTGACTCTTTCTGCAGCCTTTCTACTGCTACTCCTTGGCTTCTTCTTACTGCTGTCTTTCAGTCACACCCCTGATCTGATGGTAGAAAAATATGTACACCTAGCCCTCTCGGACAAGGGCGAAAAATCTCGGAGGGCGCGTGTGCAAGTTGCACGTTAAAGATCCCTTGGTGGTCTAAAATTGATAAGAGTAGGCTTCGGCCGTCACCCGTGCAAAATTCAAAATGTCCTACCGACTGAATATTTTTAATATGCCCCGCGCGCTCATCTGACCTTATGTAGTTGCGAGCGCCGTAAAACGTACCAACCCCCCCCCCCCTCAGCTTCTTCTACTCTGTGTCTTCCTTCGTCACTCACTCCACCAGCACCTCAAAGAACTGACGTTCAGGAACACACCGTTATGATCCCTACCATATTCTGGCATGATACCAACTCAGCTAAAGATGCTCAAAGAAAGCTCCAAGTGGAGAAAGATGCGAAATGGGTGGGTGGGTGGAAAGGAAAACAAGCAGGAGTTTTCAAACATAGGCTAACTAGGCACTTCAGTGAAGTTTTCAAACTTCTCCAAGGGCTCTGAAATTAGGAGTATAGGATAGAGCTTGGCTTTCTGTTTCAGAGACTTTTTTAATGTTTGTGCTGTCTTTGTTAGTCCAGAATCAGCGGCCATTTTTGTGAATCAGTTTTCGCCCTGATTCTGCCAAATTTTTGCACTGCATTTTGTGCCACCAAATTTCCAAATCTTGTTTCAAAGCGTCATAAAATCCTTAACCTTATCCGTACGCCCTGGGGTCATTTTGTAGCCCTGGGGTTGTATTCTTCACATTTTGCAATACTTCTAGAACGAAGATTTCTTTGAAATGTTTAGTATTTCTCAAAAAAATCACTTTGACAGACTGCTATGCGAAGGGAACGGATCGGATTAACGAGTAAATTTCCTCTTTGGAAAGTGGTGGCACAGAGTTCCCCACGTCGTATGAATGCGATACTAAACACGACGTAGGGATAAGGTTAATAATAGTTGTATCGTAACTACTGAGGTATTATTTTTAAAAAAAGTTTATGTAGAATCAATAAATAAGCAACAAACATTCAGAGTAAAATTCAAATTAGCGTTTAATTACACCATAAGCGTGACGTAGGGAGCCCGATGGGTATGATCCAAAATAAAAAGGGGCTGCTCAAATATAATCTTACACAATTTATGACCATTGATTATTTGGAATGTACTTGCCATATTTTTTTAACTACCCTTGTTGATAAACCATTCTTTGTTCTACCAGAAAACGTTCCAATGGTTATCTTAGAAGTGATACCTTGACAAGGCAAGTCTTTCCCTTTTACCAACCAAATCCGCGAAGACCTCGCTGAACCCTTCCACCGAGACATCGCGCCAAGCCGTGACGTCACACAGTTTTCCCCTAGAGCTTCCGGCTCGCTCTGTTCATTGTTGGAAATGTACAAGACAGGGAAATACGTTTTACATCACACGGAGATTTTGGAACTTCAGTTTGAAAGGTAAATACATTTTGGTATGTTTTATAACCACTGACTTTAAATTGTACCCAATTCCATTCGAAATTCTAAAGAAAGCGAGAATATTTAGAGCCAAGCATTTCCTTTTCACTGAGCCCCCCCCCCCTAATCTTCCACTTTTTCCTGCCCACAGCCTTTGGGGTTGTTCAAATAATATAATCTTACACCTTTTTGGGGGGGAATTTTTGCCCCCTCACCCCTCCTTTTTTTCACAATGTTCTTACATTTGCCTCTCAACACTGCCCCCCCCCCCAATCCCCATCACACAATATTACATTGTTTGCTTATAATAATACATGTCATATGATTTATATCGTGCAAATCTGTGTTACAATCATTGTTCTATGTACTTTACATAATATTTATGAAAAACATGCATACACCCATGTATTGCACTTAATAATATATGTGAGGCAGCGTGGTGGAATCAGGCTCTCGTCAATTTTTGGGCAAGTAGAGTTATTGGTATCATCTTAAAGCTTGTTCAATTGTCTTTATTTGGATAAAAGAAATATCCATTTATCTGGAATACAAGTCGAGGTATTTGCGAATGAAGGAGGTGGGGGTCACCTGTTTTCAGAGGTAAAATTAGTGAGAAAATGGCGGCCAAAGACTACTTATTTCCTTAGCTTTAGAGTCCGTGGTAACTGGAAATTTTCATTTTTTATGCCTTTAATCGTTTTTCAGAAAAATCCACACAGATATGAATTCTTTAATGGGCATGAAAGGTGCTGTGTCAAAAAAAAAAAAGTGCAAGTTTCTTCCTGTGATTATTTTCACAAGAGCCTGATTCCACCACGCTGCCTCACAGCCTGATTCCACCACGCTGCCTCACATATAAAAATATGCAGTTCTACATTCAATTTAAAAAAATATTGTATACACTCTTTCTTACCAATAAGGGGAAAAAAGAGGTCAATGTCAAAAGCACCTTGATTACAAATAACACAAATTACAGTGGAATTCTGATAAAGTCAACACATCGGGACCGAAAAAAAGTTGAAATTGGAAATTGATGAAAACAGCTACAAAATTACAAAGTACCTGGTAAAAAGATGTTTGCTCAATTTAGCGAGTATAATTCTGAAGTTATCACCAAAACACGAGATAATGAGTGAACAAAGCAATTAGAGGTGTGTACACCACTAACTCAGGACCTAAATATCTTTTCCTAAATGAATTCATCTTGGGATCTAGCCCCAAATTATTGACTTTACGCCAGGGTAACACTCAAGCGGTTGACTGTATCAGAAACACAATTACTTAAACAAAGAATGTAAGAAACGGGACCACGGTGAGGTGTTGACTGTAAGCGAGAGTTGACTGTAAGCAAGTTGACTTTATCAGGATTCCGCTGTATCTGTTATTACTGATCATTATGCCAAAGACAAAAGGTGAAGTTAGTTATCATCAACAGATGCAATGTTCATTTTTACGTCAAAAATATTTTTAAAATCAGGGGCATCTGCTGAGCTGTCTTCCAAATCTGGGTCCTGTTCCTTCTCTTTCTCCTCTTCCTCCTCTTCTTCCTCCACCTCCATTTCTTCCTCCATCCTGTGTAAAGCCCTGTGCTTCTTCAATGCTGCAATACCTGGAAAATACTTTCCCCATCCCTTGTAGCCTGTGCACTCTTTGGCCTATGAAGCCTTTCTTACACTTTTCTTACAGGAGCCAAAAACATAATCTTACACCTGGAAAGGAGGGGGGGGGGGGGGGGGTTTCTTAAAAAAAAGTAATATTACCTTTTTGTAGGGGAAAAAAAAGTGGGTTTTGGTCAAGAAAAGCCTCAATAAGCCAAAAGAGTGTGCACAGGCCACAAGGGATCTTTCCCTTTTCTTACAGGTGCCAAAGACATAATCTTACCCCTGTAAGAGGGAGGGGGGGGGGGTGTCTTTGGCTGCTTTAAGAAAAGTGCAAGAAGGGGGGGGGGGTCTTTAACACAGGCCACAAGGGATGTAGAAAGTATTTTCCAGGTATTGCAGCATTGAAGAGGCACGGGGCTCTTTACACGGGAAGAAATGGAGGTTGAGGAAGAAGAGGAAGAAGAGGAAGAAGAGGAACAGGAGAAAGAGCAGGAACAGGAGGAAGAGCAGGAACAAGACTAAGATTTGTAAGACAGCTCAGCAGATTTACAGCTGACCACACACAACAAAGAAAGAACAAACACCAAAACTTTTCAAACAGAATACAAAAAACTAATAGATAAATACCCCGGTGCG